GGAAACCTGGTCACCTTAAGTGGCTGGAAGAAAACTAAGTAAGGGTGGCAGTCTCAGTCTCCCTTTTAACACCAGCCATAAGGACTGCACTTCTTTCACTTGGCCCCATCTCCTGACAATTCCCCCAACTCCCAAAAGTACCACAGGCTGGCGATCAACCCTCTAACACACAGGCTTTGGGGAGACTCACACATACACCACAGCAGTGTGAAAATGCTATGATGAAGGAAAACAGGATGCTGGAGGGAAAAACCTCTAACAGTTGTGTAGAGATGGGGACTAAGAAAAACATCTTAATAGTGAAATCAAGCCCTAATTAGAATCTTTCCTGTTCCTAAGAACTATAAGCTTATTTCAGAATACAGATGTGAAACACTAGTACCAACCAAAGATGATCTTTAGAGCCTAGCAGAATCATATGTCTCTGAGGAACAGAACCTGAAGAATGGAAACAGGATCTCCAGGACCTGAACTACAAATAAGAGACATTTTCTACAACTGCAGACTCACCAGAGTTACTCTCCAGTTCCCCTGGGACCAGCGTTCTAGGTGGGGACTCCTTCACCAAGACTTCTGATGAGGGCCAGTCAGCCCTCTGCTTCCCTGTGAGCCACTTAAATTGACTGGGCAAATGATTACAGTTAAATGATTACAGCTCAAAATTAAGCTCCTCCATTTTGCAAAAAACACAGTAGTGGTTTTTACATGTATCAGACAGAAAGCCCTTGCTTGAGATCAACGGTCTGAGCTGAGACTTGCCTGACAAATACCTTCCAAGCGGTTATCACATACTGCTCAGGGAGAAGAACAGGCACAAGACCAAGACCCATCCCAGGCCACCTTCTCTCCTGACCTGATCCAGGGAAGATGGAGGGAATTCCCATTGTCTGCAGTGCATTACTTTTAGTTCTGGGTCTTCCATATGGGAGTGAGGAGAATAAAACCACCTTTACTGCCAAGTTAGTGCAAGAGAAAATAAATCTGTCTGCCCAGTTAGATAGCAGCTAAGGAATTTAAGTGGACCACAATGAGAGGAGGTAAAGGGCTGATTGGCTGGTCCCCGGGGCACTTATAAATAAATCTGGTAACTCCTGTAGTTGTGGAACATGTGCCTCATTTCTAGTCCAGGAACTCAAGGCCCTGCTTTCATTCTTTAAAGTTTATTTTCATGCATCTCTTCCCCTTTCAACTGATTTGCAGATCTTACCTATATCCTAGTTTTCTCAACACCTTTCCTGAAGCACAAATCTAAAGCCTTTTTTAAAAGAAATTCTAGGCCTAGTGTTTTTCTTTTCAATTTTCTGTAAGTCATTTCTCTCTCCAAAATTCATTCACGCCAATACAAATGAAAGTTGACAAAACTCTATTTTCTTGTAGGACAGGCGGCATAGATCTCTTTCTCATCACTAACTGTCTTCTCTACTAAGCAGTACTAACATGGATTCCCCAACATGTTTTGCTTTGATTTCATTTTGGTTTGTTTAGTTTTGTTTTGCAAAACTTCTCACCTGGTTAGGCTGGGGTATTTGAATATTAACACTTCCCGTGAGGAAGAAGTGCTAATACCGTAGGCAGAATGACATGGTCTGAAAAGCTCACAGGAAAGGGTGGGACTAGTCCAGCATAGAGAGTGGGGCAGAGGCAGAGAGAAAACAGGGTATCTTTCTAGTAACTGATGCAATATGGCATCACAGTTACCAGTGTGGCCTTCACAGCCAGACTGCCCACAAAAGCCACCAAAGCCAGACATGGCTTGTGATCATTCTAAATGTCTAGTTAAAGAGCTACATTTGATATCGTACTTTTTTTTAAAGCACATACTCAGTTAAGTTCCTGGAAAATAAGTATGACCAAAATGAATATATAAACCTACTTTTTCAACTGTACATTTTGTTGAATACAAATAGATTAAATGCTCCTGATCAGAATTTATCATCAGAATTAGATGTGCTATGAGATCAGAATATATCCAAGATTTTGAAGACAGTATAAAATGTAAACTAATATTAATTTTTATGGTAATTATGCATTGAAGTGATAATATTTTGATTATACTGAGTTTAACTAAACATATCATTAAATTGACTTCACTTGTTTCTTACTTAAAAAAATAAAACTTGGGGCTGGCGAGATGGCTCAGTGGCTAAAGCACCTACTTAGAACAAGCTTAGCCAAGCACAGGGACCACGGTTCAATCCCCCAGCACCACGTGCCAGCCAGCCCCGCCCCCTGGTGGGCTGAGCTGGTCACACACACACACACACACACACACACACACACACACACACATAAATGAAATAAATTTATTTAAAAAATAAAATTAAAATTAAAATTAAATAAATACATAAAACTAAATCTGTGCTCACACTGCATTCCTATTGGATAGTGTTCTTTGGGAGCATGAACTGCAAGGGCTCAAACTCTGTTTCTGCAACTTCTTAACTATAAAATGAGCCCGTGTGTGTTTTCCAGGTCTTCTACAGAAGGTTGCCTAACAGTATGTAGAGCTGATAGAGATACAAGTGAAGTACACTTGATGTAACTAATTCATGAATAGTTCATGATACCTGATGTGCTCAGTATATGCTATTCTTATTATGTTTACAGTTGTCACCATGTGGGGACAGCAAGATATGTGAAGAGACTGTGAAATATCAGAATTTTTGTTTTTGTTAGGGAAGACTGGAATCAGATATCCATTTTTATATGGGTAAAAAAATGCCCAAAACCTCATTTCCATGGTGTCTGCTCTGTATTAGGCCCCAATTAAATCCATTTACATCTGTGAGGCAAACATGCTACCACCTGAGTACATTCTCTTCTTACAAGATTCCAAAAAGCACAACCAATAGAAGGTGTCTGATATAATTTAGAAAAAGGCTTTAGTAAGAATGTGGCATTAAGTCGTAAGTACAAAGGAACTCTGCCACTGAATCAACCTTATGCCTTTCAGAAAGCCCTTGGGTTTCCTGTGCTGTTTCCCAATCAATTAAATAGGGATAATAGAAAGTACTATCATGAGGATTAAATAAGGTACCAGGATAGACAGAACTCTGTAAATTACACAGCACTGTGCTAAATGTCATTATCTTCTACTTTTAGAATCATTACTGCAGGATTATCTTTCCTCCCAGAAAAAAAACAAAACATACAATTGCTACTATGGAATTGTTTCTAAGGATCCTCATCCTGGATTTTTATTTCTCCTTAACTGATCTGAGATAAAATAATCACATGCTATGGTGTAAAAAATTCCACTACTTCTTTGAAAAATAAAAATGTAGAGCCATTGAGATAGCTCAGTGGTCTACTTGCCTTCCTAGGCAACCGCAGGGATCTAGGTTCAACCCCATTACAGCATCTGATGCAGGCCCATCCCCCAGAGCTCGAAACTGACCACCAATACCGAGCATGGTGGCACATGCTTGTAATCCCAGCTCTGGGGAGGCTGAAACAGGAGGATCACTGAGTCCAAGCTGCTAGTGAGACACTGTACCAAACATGTAAAACTAAAAAAAAAAAAAAAAAAAAAAAAAAAAAAAAAAAAAAATTAAAAATTAAAAAAAGTGAAAGATCATTGACGAGTAAACCAGTTAAGTAATTACCAGCTTCTAATGCTTCAGCTCTTTTACCTAACTAATCACAAACAAGTCTTAGAGGATTTGGGACACAGATCAGTTAACTTTTCATTCATTTTTAGATTCATTCATTCAACAAATACATTATGCCAATGAAATTAAAAAAAAAAAAAAAAAACTGGAGGGGACTCAGATGTGGGTGATGCAGTTTCAATTAGTTAGTCAAAGTAGGCCTCACAAAGTAGATAACATTCAAGCATTAAGACAATAACTTGATGTTGGGGACCACAAATTACAAACTAAGTCTAAAAGATTTCCAAAATGGACAACCATTTTGTCCTTCTCTGTGACCCAGATTAGAACGTGGAAACTCCCTGCCTTCTCCTGGTCACAGCTGAGTCCTGTAGTTCCTGATTCTATGGTGCACACAAGACAGATAAGCCCTTCTGAGGAAAACAAATGATGTTTAGAATAATGTAGTAGCCAAGGTAGAAGTTTTGCTTGGGGGAAAAAAAAAAAAAAAGCTTCTTTGTTAATTCTTGCCTTATGCTTTGTTCTTCTACTAGCCAGTCTTAAATGCTATTGCTGTTCGCAGAGTTACTTACTACCCATCCCCCTGCACTGGCTAATAAAAGTGGACTAGCTGAAGAGGTCTTTGTCTTGGCCCTTCCTGAGACACTAACCTCCCAGACCCTCTTTCACACATTACTAAATCATCTCTGTCTCTTATTTTATCCTTCACCGTACTGCTCATGTAGGCAGTTGGGCATTTGGCCAGGTCCCTGGCAACATGAAGAAGTGGATTATACAAATTCTGGAAAGAACATTCTAGAAAAAGAAAACTCACCTTTGACTTTCAATAACCATGGGGAACCAGGGCAGTTGCAGCAAAGCAAGGAACTTAAGAATAGAAGTCAGAGAAGTATTCGGGGAGATGGGACAGATAGATCGTGCAGGATCTCAGAGGTACAAAGGCTGTGAAAGTTACTCTTCAAACCAGAACACGTTAAGGATCAGAGATGTTACTAATAACTACACTGGAATAATAGTCGTGAACCATTCACCTGGTTGATTGGTGTCCCTAGTTTTAAGCCTTTATCTTGTGATGGACCTTATTTTGGATGCAAAACTGGAAGAACAGAATCTATTTCTGAAATCTTGTTAAGTGCTCTAAGTGAAAACATACTTAAGAAAGAGATATGCATTGTTGATGGTTCTCTAGAAGAACAGAATTAGAGAGAGTAAAGAAAGAGGAGAATATACATATAATCTAATAAATATTAAGCTTACAAGATCAGTGGTGGGAGAATCCACAATGCCGGACTGCAGGCTGACGAGCAGGACACCAAATCTGCTCAGCCTAAGAAGCTGGAAGCCACGTCACAAGCGAGATGGAAGAAGCACCAGTCAAATATAAAATACCTTAGAGCACGCTGGAGAGTCACTGGTATGAACTGCTTTGAAACCTGAAGAAACTGGAGGTGTAGTCTCAGCTAACAGCCGCAGCAAAAAATCCACCAGCTTAAGCCAAACGGAGAGGAAGGCAAACTGACTTCCTCTCACTTCCTCTTTTATTCCTCCTGGACAGCAAGCTTATTAAGGAGGTGCCACCCACGGAAGGGGTGGGTCTTCCCTCCTATTTGCTGGCCTATATGTCAATCATAATCATCTGCAAAAACCTTTTAGGGGCACTTGGAAATGTGTTTACTAATCTTCTAAATGTTTCTTAATCCAGCCAAATAGAGATATCATTATTAAAGATACAAGAAAGCAGTATACCCTTTCAAAGGTTGAAACTAGAAAAGGTTTAGATTTTTTACAGTTGTTAAATGCGTGCTGCTTTACAAATCTTAACTCCAAACGCCCCCATCTTTCCTAAGCTGAAGCTTGTGTGAAAGGTCTCCTAGGACGCCATGGAGCAGACTGGGCCTGACTCTTTTAGTCAATTTGTTGGACCTTGAAAGCTGGATTGAATCTGTAACATAAGGTCGCCATCCAGAAAAAAGAATTCTCTTCAGTCTTTCAGAAGAGGAACAAGAGGGATGACCATGAAAAGATATTGAAACGGTTATTTTTAATTCTGAGAACACATACGAACTTGTTTTAGTCATTTGTAGATGTACAGATTGGCAGCATGAAACATACAGCGCTGTTTTTTCCATCACCACTGTGCATCTCCAATTTGTGTCATAATTTCCAACTCTTTCCACCTTTTGATGTTTGTTTACTTTAAGCCTTACCTTATGCCGCACTCACTTCTGTGTAAGGCTGACAAACTTTCCTGATTAGGGTTCTCAGGCTGTCCCATGTCAACAAAGACAAAGGATGATGCATTACATCTTCCTTCCTAAAATAACCCATATGACCTCAATGTGCTCACTTTGTATGCAAAAGGAGAGAAAAGACAGAGAGAGGATAGATGGGGAGAGAGGAGGAATGCGATACCTCCTGATAAACAAGAGAGCCACTTGCCACAGTATAACTAAGCATGAACTGTGGAGCAGGGCTTCTAGGAAACTGCAAATGGTGGGTGGAGGCACAGAGGTGTCTTCAGTCCTTTGCTTTTCATTCATTTACTTTTCATGCCTGGAAGAGGACCCTAACACAGAACTGAAGGAGCCATTTTGCATTCACAAAGTATAAAGTATGCACGAAGTATTATGAAGTGGAAAGAAACATCTTGGGGCCCAGAGGATTTTGCAAAACTACTGTGCCAAGCCTGGGCAGTTTATTACCAAACAGAAGAAAAAATAAAAATATTATCAGATGCCTATAGAAGCCCATTTTTTTGGTGATATAGTTTTTTATTCACTCAAGTCTGTTACTGTCCCCTGAATGCCAGTCACCAGTGCTGATGGTCACTTTCTCCCAGGCTTCTCACCCACGTGTCTTTCCTTCCTCCCTGGCACACCACACCGACAGGCAGAACTGCTTTGCTTCCAAACTCTGGTGCTCAGCTAGGTCCCCCCATCTTCTCTAGAAAGCTCTCTGGCCCCTTTTCACATCATGTAGAACTGATAGGAACTGCAAGGAGCCATGCTCTGTGGAAAAGCAGAAAAATCAGCCAAAGTTCTCCCCGCTATGCCCTAAGTGGTATCCCCACTTAAGCTCCAAAAGAAAGACAAGATCCCCAAAGACATCGCAGAGTGGTATGAGTGCCTGTTATATATTTTACTCCTCAACTAAATACTGTGAACATCTTTTGTTTTTTTAAGACTTGTTTTTTAATGAGGTCGTCTTTTTTTTTTTTTTTTTTTTTTTTTTTTTTTTTTTTTTTTTGTATTTAGGACAGGGTATACAAGGTGTACAGGGTCTCACTGTGTAGATCGGATGTGTAGTGATCCTCCTGTTTACAGCCTCCCAAGTGCTGGGACCACAGGTGTGTGCCACCAAGCTCAGTCTTAATGGCGTTCTCAGCGCGCCCTTGGGACGGGGCTGGCATGGCAAGCCCAGGGATCAAACTCCTGGCCCCTGCATCTGCCTAAGCAGGCACTTTAATCCTGCTGAACTATTTGGCCAGCCCTGAGGTCATCTCTTTTTAGCAGTCAAATATATAAAGATCCATTGTACTGAATGTGTCTAATTCAAGTGTAGAGAAATGGAAGCAAGGCTGATTCCCTTCTTCTATTAGAGGAAACAGTTTCCTCTATTAGATGAGACACAGAAATGCCCTCAGAAAACATCAAAAACTAGCAATTAATAGAAGCATAGCTACTTTTATATGCCTACTAAATTCACAATGTGAAAAACCACAAATATACCACTAGCGGTTTTCCAGGATATCCTAGAAAGCAAATTTTATGACATATTGAGTCTTAATAAATGGCTACATCTTTACCCTGATAATTGCACTCAGGGATATATAGTTCATGAAAAAATTCAAGAGCTATTCAAGTTGGAGTTAAGTCTAAGGAATACCACAAGATGTTACCTTCAGAGTTACTTACAATAAAAAAATTGAAAAGAAATTCTAAAGCAGTAAATATTAATAACAATGTGCCAGGCACTATATTAAACAAGAAAGATATAATTCAGAAAAAAGCAACTCAACTCCATCCTTAGCTGGAACTCATATTCCAGTAGTAAAAACAAATAAAAAATTATTTTTGGGTGGTGATAAAAATAATGAAAAGGGAATAGAGTCAAGTAAAATAACAGAGCTTATAAATGATGGAGTCTACACTTGAATTTAGGCAAGCTGATATTTTCTCAACGCTTTACCAGTTTGCTTCAGATTTCCAAGGACTGAAGAAATTCACTGAGATCAGCTACTTCAGTTGCCAGTAGAGCAAAAAAGAATGAAATTATTTTCGTTTGAGGGAGATCTTCAAAGCAGAATGGTTCGATCAGTCTCCAAGTCACTTGTCCAGGAGAGCAGATGACTTTGCTAAACCATGGGGCACAGGTATCAGTGAAGAGCCATAAGTCAGAAATTAACACTGCACTTGAGGGCTTCTCTTTAGCTGCTTCCCAAATACCTGGGAATGCAGCTGAGACCAAGACCAGGGCCCTGCTTCCACCTAACCATGTCTCAGCAGCTATCTCAGGAGCTATCTCGTGGGCTTCTTATCCTGAGAACAAGAATATGAGCTGCTGCCCTTCTTTGGTGCAGAACTGTAAGACCACAGTCAGACTGAATTTTTAAACTTCTTTTATATTAGAAGCCATAGTGATGTATAAAAGGCTAAATTCTGTGTTCCCTAGTATCTCACTGTGTCATGGTACTCCAAGGTCTCTGGACCTCAAGGTGCCACTTTAAAAAATCATGCAGATTTCCAGCTTAAAACATGACCTCGTTGCTCACTCCTAATGCAGTTGCTCCAACTTTGCAGTGAATTATCTATGAACACAGAGATAAGTGTAAAGATACACACACACACACACACACACACACACACACACACAAAGTTTAAATCACTAGTCAACTCTTGGCCAGAATGTAAGAAGCTGAGAGAAATGAAAAGAACAATCTGTATTCCTAGTCAACTGTTACTCCACATTTGTTCACCTAAAACAAAAAGCTGAAAAGATATTATATCTCTCCCCCAATTCCCTTCCCTCCAGACTGAAGAAATAGAGCCTTTGCACCAAGCAGAAAGCTGAGATTGAACTGTATGTGTATTGATTTTTCTGGGGCAAAGTGTCAACTGTTTGCACTCTCCTTTGCTAAGAAGTCCATGTTTAGAAAGCATGAGGGCAGCATCATCGATGGGGCAGGGCACAGGAGCCTTCAGTATCACATTTCATTTGCTGTCTAGAAAATTATGTATTCTCACTGTAAAGTGCTCTAGGTTGTAGCAGAGAAAGTAGAACTTTACTAACAGCCTTTACCGGCAATAGCCTTCTGGTAATCTATTATTCAGCATCTATCATAATAGTTAATAGAATAAAGCTCATCTCAGTTCAACAAAGCCAGACTCGTTAAACACAAGCTCACAACAACCACAATGAGATCAGGTAGGGCTGGGCACATGAATCTGCTCAGATTAGGTTTGCACTTATTCTAGTATCAAACGGAGAGATGCCAAGTTGGAATTCCTTTTTTTGCAGTTCAAACAAACTGGCCTCTGGCCCTGTAAGACACATCACAGAGCAAGGGAAACTGGCTCTAGCTTGAAGCTAAATACAGGTGATGGTTCCACAGCATTGTGAATGTATTAAATGCCACAGTTATTCACATGAAAGAGGCTAATGTCATGCTGAGATCACCTTGCATCTAAGTATTTGCGTTAAGAAGTTTCATTTGGAAGCAATTTTCTGGACTTTAAGAAAATTACATCCCCACAAAATTCATAGCATCAGATTTATGAAACAAAGATCAAGGGAGAAACACACACACACACACACACACACACACACACACAATTAATCCTAATCCTAAAAATTTTAAGAAAAAATCAAATATGAGGGCCAGGGAGATAGCTCAGTAGAATAAGTGTTTGCCTGGCAAGCACAAGGTCCTGAGTTCAATCTCCATTTCCAGCAAAGAAAATAAAAATTAAAAAATAAAGTCCACAAAGTAATATTACAAGTCTCAACATGTATGGATCTCATTAAACAGACTCAGCAGATATAGACAGAAACTGTCAGACCTCCACTAATAAACTGACAAATTTACCCTGATAGTGAAAATCTATACAGCATATTCTTTTCTTTTCTTTTTTTATATCATATTCTTTTCAATAAATTATGGTTGAAGCACTCAAAACTTTTTAACAAACATCATAGAAAAATTGAACAACACAATTAACCACTCTGATCTAATATAACACTTAGAAATATCTATTGTCTACTCAATCTATTTATAAAAGTTATCTCAATAAATTTCAAAGAAATTTTCCCTGGGAATTTAGCTCTGGCTGTGGAACAAGTGGAGTTCAATCTTAAATGAACTCAAATAAATTTTTTGACATCTACATCAACAAAAGAAAACAGATGAGATTAAGAAATTAAAAAGCTGAAGCCATGCCACTCAAATATCTGAGTTCACGGGAGTGAGAGCATATTAGGCATTTTTTTTAAGTACAAGGATGCCAGATAATAAAGCT